TTCAAAGAACATCAGTCAGCTCTACCCACCCAGCAGTTTCAAGTTGGAAGGAGGTTGGGGACTGGGGACTGGGGACTGGCCATCTCAGGGGAGGGTCAAAGCTTTCCAAATCTGTGCTCTAGGTGTGGTTACTGGTTACTAGGTGGAATAACAGCGCGCACCAGGCAGCTGTTATTCCCTCTCCTAAGAAGTGAGATGAGGCATAGCTGAATTCAGAACTAGCTCCAAAGAGCTGCTCTGAGTGACTCTGGCCCAAAAAGGATGAGCTTCCATGTGTTTCCCAAGTTGGAGGCAAAGGCAGGGATCAGGCAGGAAGGTACGGGATGAGGCCACATCGCCAGCTGCTATCACTCGATGCTTCCCACGCCGGCTTTCAGGGGCTCATGGAGTTGCAAAGCAATTGGTCTTATGTCCCTTTGTGGACCTCCCTCCTCCTTCCCCTGCCCAGAGAGGGAGGGGTCTTGGACTTGGGGCGACAGAGGCCCTTGCCTAGGCTGTGCCCCGGCTGACTGAGAGGGAGCCAGTCCAGGAGTAGCTGGGGTTCACTGTCAGCGACTGCGTGGAGAGAGGGCCTTAAGCTTCAAGGGAAGGGTCTTATGCCAAGGAGCTGAGGCCGGCTTTTGTCCAGTGGGGCTGTCAACATTTCTATCTATAACTGATGATTCTGTACAACTGGTGGTCCAAGGACGCCTTTTAGAGGCCGAAACACCTTTTATCCAAATATCTCCAAGTACTACAGAAAAAGCAATGTCTCACTTTTTACAATATGAAATGAGGTTTGGTTTTCTTTTTACAGCACACGGGTTTTATTTTGATGGGCTAGTCTGGTAAATCCAAAAAGTCAGTTTTGACTTTTTTGAGAATGAAATCCTATAATAATCAATGTTAATTTTTCTGATTGACGTTGATTATGTGCTGATTTACCTAGTTTGTAGTCCTTGCCTTCCTTTTCTCTTTTTTTTCCAGTTAAAAAGAAACCTGAAGGATTTGAAATTAGATAATTTCTCGCTTGTCTTTGACTCCTCGTGTTGGCACTGCCATGGAGGGCTCCCTCCAGTACTGGGGCGACTCTGTGAAGGGTTAATTCACAACATACAGTCAGCATAAGAAATAATTGTGTAGCTTGGAAGTGCTGTATCGCTCAGGAGAAGACTGTGAGCTCCCTCTTCTGCTTTCATTTCTCTCTTTTTTTTTTTTCAGATCAGGGTTGACCTAGCAGTGAAGCGGGCCAAATCTGCAGGGAAGTGGAGACTCCTGGAGGCGACCAGGACTGGGAAGGGCCTCTCCCTGAAGGAGCCGCAGGCTATGTTAAGGACCGCCTTTGGTCAAACGGTACTTTGCCTTGTTCTTCCTTCTTTGTCATCTTCGCTCTGTGTGGGGATGTAGGAGATGGTCTCAAGGAGTGCTAATTGTCTTATAACTATAGTTGTTAATGAGAAAGAAGATAAGGAAAGCTCCCTGCCTGCCTTTCTCCCCCCCCCCCCCTTTTGTCTTTCCTTCCTGCATCTACCAAGCATTGATGCAGCAGCTCTAGGTCCCCAGCATTGGCACACAGGTGCTGAGGATGCTTATAGACCAATGGGGGAGACAGACCAATCGGTGTGATGGAATCTGTGAGAGACCTGTGGGGGGATTCAGCTCATAGAGTGGTCCTTCCCGCCTGGTGGTCAGGTGGGGGTGGGGGAGATAGGAAAAATGGGAGGGGGGTGCAGAGAAGCATAGATTGTGTTTCACCCTCCCAGATGCAAGAAGCTTGTTTTATACAGGGCCAGCCGTACCTCTGCCAAGGCGGGCATTACATTTTCAAGGTTCATGGCCACTTCTTAAGGCCTATGGAAATCTATGCCAGCTTTTAAAGTGTGGGGTTTGTCCTTGCTGTGCTCCTTGACCAGCCTGCCAGGTTGTCAGTCCTGGGTGGCCAGTTCATGGCCAGTGGGACCCAGGATGTGTGTCGTGGGCCACCTCTACTGATTAAATGTGGGTTCAATTCAGTACCCTCTTGACTTCTCTGTCACACTTAGTATGGCTGGCGCCCTTCTGGAAGCTTCCTCCACCTTCTCATAGGTTGTTCCTTCTTCCTCCACCTGGTCCTTGGATACTCATCAGGGCTGGCCCTTGGCCCTTTCCTTTTGTTAGCAAAGAGCTGGTGGCAGGCCTGACCTCATCCCTGAGCTGCCCTGCCCGGCCTGGCCCTCCACTGGCTCCAGTGCTGCCCTCCCCAGGGCCTTCCCACCCTCTGGCTCTTCCCACCCTGCCGGCTTCTTTAATAAGCAGGGTTAGTCTTCTTTTTTATTGTTGTTTTTTTTTTTTCCTAATCAAAGGTGTACATGTAGCTACTTTACAAAATCAGCACAGCTGAATACTCTTCCAATGTTGGTAGAGACAACGCAGAGCCAAATGATTTTGTTGGTTTTGGAAATTTTTTAAAGTGAGGCTTTAAAAAAAGAAGGAAGCAATTAGCCATCAATTGTAGCATGATTATTTGCTGACCACTGCCAGCTAAGTCCTGAGGTGAAGTGTGAAACGGTACATATGGTTTCATAAAATAACATAAGGTAGAAGGGTAAGTAATTATGGATTGCAAGAGTTACCAGTAGGGAAGCCAATTATTCATTGTCATTGAAGCAGCATGAGCCAGGCTGTGTGTGTGGGAGAAGGCAGTGCAGAGTGGGGACCCACCTCGAGGCCTGATGCCCCGGGAGATAAGTCAGAAGGGAGTGTTGGCTGTTGATGGCTCATAGCTATGTCTCTCTGGGAATAGTCCTTAGCGTAATGGAGCCACCTAGGCCAAGGAGATGCTTTCTCCTCAGGACAGAACCCCTAAGGGGTGGTTGCCTGGGGGGCTCCTAAGCCCGGGTGATTCAGTGGGGCTTATCTTTGTCTTCCCTGCCCAACTGGATGGTCAGTGTGCAAACACTGCGGCCACAGCCTGAGACGGGCACAGTGATTGGGGGCACAGACCCTCAGGGATGAGGGCCTTGTTGCTCCGCCAGGTGAGTCACATGAAGCAGCAGAGGTGCCAGCCCAGGGTAGTGGAATGTAGAGGGGGTAGAGGAGGAAAGAGAGGAATATCACTTATCAGCTGTGTCCTGAGATCAGCTGCAGTGTTGGGGACCGAACTCTGTCCCACTAATCCTCTTCTTAAGTTCCCCCAGGACCTATCAGAATCCTGGAGGAAGTGGAATCAACAGCACTAAGGCTGTCTGTGATGGACTCCTGGATTCCTCCCTCAGGACCACGGCACTTATTCCCCCAGATGCGGGGCACATTGCCTGGAACTGCCCTCATCTCAAGGGAGCCCACTCACCCCAGGTCACATCCCCTCCCAGGTGCAGACTGTGCTCAATGACTGGTTGATTCAGGAGTCCAAAGGCGTGGCCTCTTGCCTCAGTTGGGGACAACTCTGAAGGGCCAGGCCAACTCCAGAGCTCCTGGTGGCATCAGCTGAGGCCTCTGTCGCACCCCAGTGTGGCTGCTGCATTGCAACACTCCAGTTCACTTCTCCCTCTGCCACATGCTGCTCCCAGCTCCTGTGGCCCAAATCAAGGTGATATGTGAACGCCCAAGTTTGGAAAATACTGTCACAGCTTCACCTACAGTGTGCTTACGGATTACTTACATGAAAATGAGAAGAAGCCTTCTTTCAATACAAAGTTGTTTTCCTGTTTTTTTTTTTTAATTTCCATTTCTGGGCAAAAAAATGTTTTGTAACACTCTGTGGTAAATAGGCAGGTAGAAAGAGAAGAAACGTGACATTTGTTGAGAACCTTTTTTGTACCAGTGTTCTATATTATTCCACTTAATTCTAACAACACTGGGACTAACCCAGGTTAACAGACTGGAAAACTGGGCCCCACCGCCAGGAAGTGGCCAGACCAGCCCTCCACACTGGGCCGCCCACCTCCACACTCTGAGCTCCTCGTGGTGCCCTTTACTGCTTCCTGCTTATCCCATCTCACCTCGGTCCACCGGGAGCTGCAAAAAATTCCACTCATTTGGAAGTTTGCATCTACAGGGCATTAATTTGGAAAAACACGAATTGTAGACCAAGCTGTACCTGCATGATGGAAGCAAATCTTGTCCCTCACAGCAGAGCACACACACCAGAGACCAAACGGCACCGCCCTGAGCTCCGGTCTCTTCCAGTTCCCTCAGGTTCAAGCCCGATATCCTCATCTCGTCCCAAATGAACGTATGAAAACAGGTGTAATACACCCTCACCCTGGGAAACACAAAAGTGCAGAGGAAAAAACCAACCACCATAAAGCAGCAGTCATGGTACCGCCTAGAAATAACCACAGTTCACATTTTGGTCCAAATATTTCCCATTTTTACTGGACATACGCATATATACAAAGTATTTTAAAAATGGGCTTTACAATATATAGTTTTATCATCTGGTTTACAACTAAATATATTGTGAAAATTTTCTCTTTTACAACAATTAAAATTGCGTAGTATGGAGGAAACATAATTTATTAAGCACTCTTTTTGGGGAAATTGAGCCATTTTTTCCAAGGAGACTTCATTCTCTTTCTGTCTTGAGAAAAAAGAGGTGTCCTTGTCTTATGTAGCTTTCTATAGATGAGAGAAACTTGCCCTTCAGCTTAGCTTTTAACTTGCTTCTCTGTGCCCATCTAATCATCAGTCAACCAATCCATTTTCTTTTTTCCAGTCTGTCTCTTCCATTCGCTTCCTCTTCTCTGCCTAGTCTCCCTGGTACACAGGCACTTCCATTACTCCAGCATCCTGTCCCTCACCTCTATTATATGCCCCCTCCCCTCATTTGGTCCCTTACTGATGCTTCCTTTCCTTTTCTCTTAAAGATATTGTCTTAATTGATTTTGATCAACTGTATTCAAAACTTTATCCTGTTCCACATCAGGATTAGCCTTTAATAATCTGGAGATAGAATTCAATTGTTTAAAGGAAAATATTAATAAGAAGCCCTTGGTAGAGTTATATAAGACTTGGGCACAATGTAGACATGGCTGACTCTTTAAATCTATTCACTATTTCAAGGCAACAGACAAATGATCATCTCTCAGTTAGGACAATGGAGAGACAGCCTTTATAGGTCATGACATTTAGTGACAAATGTTGCATGCAAATGTTGATTAATAGTAACTTTGTATAGCAAGGCAGATGCCAGCTAGCGTAAGAGTGGTGCGTGCAGACAGTGTTAATACTGAAGTCCCGGAAGCCGTGAGGTGCTCATCCAACACGTGGCCATCTGGAAGGGGGAGACACTTGGTTATTAAAGGAAATCTCTCCAGCAGTCTATCCTGCTGCCCACGCATGTGGCATATCTCTGTGAGCCAAGAATTACTTGGGGCCCAACATTTGATGAGTACAGTGTGCTTATGGGATCAACAGTACTGACAACATGGAATTCAGACTCTCCTGAAAAAAATCTATAAAAGTTGCCATGGGCCTGTGGTTAACTTGCTCTTCCTTGGACACGTGCTCTCACACCTGGTAACCTACCCCAGCTGGTGACGCCTTCAATTGCAGGGGTGCAGCAGAAGTTGGTTAGGCTCTGATGACAGGGAGACACCACGTTTTGGGCCCCAAGTTCCAGAAAAAAAGTATGGTCCCCACCCATCCAATCATTCAATCGCCACTTACCAAATACCTATCCTGGGCCTGACACCCAGGGTGCGAATGGAAAAGACACAATCCCTGTCCCATCTTGTACTCAAGTGAAGTATTTGTTTTCATTTACTTTCTGGACTTGAACATTTTCAATTTCTAACAATTACAGAGTCAGAACTATGAGAGTCCTGTGAACTTTGGTGGACCTGGAAATCTGGTTCAGGTCTGGGTGGGGAGAGAACCCTCTCCTCTCAGCCTCCACCCTTCTTGTCATTGTTCTCCTCAAATCAATAAAAATCAATACGGTGAAAGGGTTCTGAGACCAATCACCAGGGGGGTCCTTTTAGGATCCAAGAAGAAGTCCCTAAGGAATGAGAGTGGGGTCAAGCCTCTGGTAGGAATTAAGGGCATTAATTGGAATTGGGTGCCCCCAATCCTGCTGTTCAGGTGGGCACTAACTGAGCTGACCCATGGAGATTGTCTAGGTCTCTCTGCCCAAAGGAAAGGAACACCAAAGGCCATCTCTCGGTGTTTAAGAGGCCAACTGTTTTCTTGTGTATTTCCCTCACTAGAAGTTCACATACAATAAACTGTCAAATAGATTGAAATCACTCTCCATCTGAAAGGCAGCACGACTGGCCACATTTTGAGGGAGTAAATATCAAGCACGCCAAGGTGACCATCCCTTCGGGAGTCCTTGATGCTTTTACAAGCAGAACTTTGGCTGTCAGGCTCTAGCAAGCCATGAGGTAAGAAAGAGGAGAGACCCCATTAACTTAGAGCCTACAGGAAAGTAACTCAGCTCAAAGGGCAAAAGAGGGGAATATCCGCTTACCACAACCTGGCAGAAATGCCTGAGGAAAGCAGCGAAGCCTGCCGTGCCAGCATTTACACATGGAACACTTCCTGGGCAGCCAGGCGCCATGGGCCACAGACCCACAGTTTCTGGGGATGAACGGATAAGACGATACTTATGTATTTTAAATCCTCACTTCTCTTTCCCAGTCCTCTCCATCCCAGCCCTTTTAATGGCTTACTCTTTGCGCACGTCATGCTCACAGTTCCGGCCGTAGAAGGAGGGGGGACAGGCACAAAAGGACCCCAGCATGCAGGTCCCCCCATTCAGACAGCAGGTTTTGTTTAGCTCTTTACCTGAAATGTAAGAAGAGGTGGCTGAGGGGGTGGAGAGATTGAAAAGCTGAGTTCCTGTAAGCAAAGGCTAATGACTTAGTCTCCCCAAAGTGTCTGCAGATGTCTAAACACTGTCAACCTCACACAACAAGACTCTGCTTTTCAGTGTTCCTTTTGCTACCTGTGCCTTTGGGCAGAGAAACCTTTTTCATGCCTACGCCAGTGGTGGTTCCCGGGATCCCCAGCATGAAGTAGAAATCAGATGAGGAAATCTGTGTGCATTCCGGGGAGGTGACAGACACAATGCCTGTCTCACCTCCATAACCAAGACCAGTCCAACCATCCACCCATCTCCAGAATCGGGAGCCCACTCTCTTAGGTGAAAGAGTGTCAAGAAGATCCTTGGGAGACACATGAAGGACTAGGTCAGAGACACCACACTGCAGATCTAACTAAGGCAGGCAGTCTTACTGTCCTGGATTCCTGTGGATGGCACAAACTGGAAAGGCCGATGACCAACTGCAGGCTCCTCCTGGGACCGAATGCTGTCAGCTCTGAAGGCCAAGTCTCCCTGGGACGGACGTGCAAGTTCATGGTGGCCCAATCCTTAACAACAAAATCAACTCATGGAGTCTGCATTTCAGGTCACATGAAAATTGCTAGTGATCAAAAGAATGAAAAGTCTCTCACCAGCGACTAAGCCCAGTTCAAACGCTGTGGAAATGGCCATGATCATAATCACACTAGGAAGGGGAGATCAGACATCCGTTAGCAAAACAAAGTGAATAAAACACTTTGAGTTAACACCTGGGTCTTTTCATCACAAGGACAAGACCACAGCCCACCAAGCAGAAATTAGGAGTACCACCTTTCTTTTCTTCTTTTCCCTGGCTTTGTAAATGGCTGACTAATTCATGTACCAACATAAAGAAAAATGATGAGAATAAAAGCCACCTAACATCCAACTTGCCTCAATATGGATCATTACTTCTTAGGCTCTGTCCTCATGCACATAATTTTAAGTAGGTATAAATCTTTTATCTTCTAGTCACATAACATACATTTTTCTCCTGCACATGGTCTTCATATAAGAATTTTAAAACGGCTGCATGATATTTTATGTAAATGACAAATCACATTTTACAAACTACTTCATTTAAAACAGTCATTTAAAAGATTTCGAGGTTAAAAAAATGTCTCCCTATTATTCTTACTAGTTTTGCAAATGTTGAATCTGTCTATATCTTTAACATTCTCAGAAGCAGATTTTTAATTTCATTGTGATTTTGACCCTTTCTTACACAAGAGTAGGAAAACATTAGTCATTTCATAGGCAGAGCCATCAACCCGAGTAAAGATGTTATAAGCCAATGGCAAAGCTGGATACAAGGGTGAAGTTCCAGGTCTTTCAGGAAAAAGCACTGTTGGCAGCTCTTTTAAGGTTTGAGCAAGATGAAATCAGACAACACAGAGGTGTAGAACATTACTTCCTAAGCTGGCAAGCTCTAGTAATCAGAAGTTCACATTCAAGATTGGTTCATACCTGGAAGAGAAGCACTCCATCTTCCTGCGGCCCAGAGCGCCTAACAATTTATGGGGAAACGAACGTTAGCATGGCTTTAATTCACAGTCACTGCCAAAATATCCAAAGGAAAACATTAATTTCCTGAAGAGAAAATGGGGATTTAAAAAGAAAAGTCTCCCTGATGAGGAATATGCTTTCCCCAGAAGCTCTTAGGAGAAGACAGAGCTAGGATGTTCCCCCCTCTTCCCCGGGAAACAGGGGGACTCATCCCAGTGTTGGGTCCTAATGAAGGCTTTGACCTGAGCCAGAAACTCAGTCTTCCTGGGGATTCTCCTCCCTCAACAAGCCCCTGGGGTGCCTGGGAGGGCCCTCAGGTGGGCGGGGAGGCGGCAGACCCATGCTCCTTGCAAGGCTTCAGCATTCCAGGGGTGGAGGTGAGAAGGGTCAAAACAAGAGAGAAGGGAAAAGGCGAAGACTTGTAAACCCTTGGTTAACTAGCCCTAACGTCTCTAACATCAGTTGTGGGTTAAAAATATCCATTTACTCTTTTGGAAAGAAAAAAAAAAAGGCAAATCAATTACTCTATCTAGTTGCTGATTCCAGGTTGGAGGAGTGGTGGAAAGAAATTGCTTTAATCAGGAAAACCTATACACCATGCATGGGTCTCTCAAGGCGTTTGATATTTTATTATCAAGTTTTACTGCTTGAAATTTGCTTTCATCTTTGTTTTTCTGAGAAAGGTGTGTTGAGCCCCGGGCTCGGTCCTGGGCATACTCAGGTGGCCAAGAAGGTTATGCTCTCCGCCGGTGGGAAGTTGGGTGTGTGGGGAGAAAGCTCAGGAAGCTTGCAATAGAGATAGAAGTTCAGGGTCAGGAGGGGTCCCTGACCTCCTGTGAGTGTCAATTTCAGACGGACCTGAGTTGCAAGCGGAGGCAGGAAGGAAGCGGGAGCCGGCGCCAGGCGCCCTGGCGAGGGGCGGGCCGGCTGGGAGGGGCTGCGCCTGCCTGGCGGACGGCGGGGGGGGCGCAGCTGCTGGGGGTCTGCAGTCGAGGTGCCAGGCCTGCTCCAGGAAACCGTTGTAGGAACACGGCCGTCCGGCATGGGAGGCCATTTTAGCCTTGCCACTTGGTTTCACTTGGCTTTCATCAGTCTCCCCGCGCCCACAGTGGCCTCCTCCATCCTCTCGCGGCCCCGCCCCCCGACACCGGAATTAACCCCGGCTTCAGACGTGTCCCAGGGTACCCTGAAAGCGTTTATTTGGTGGTTCCGCGAAGCCCCAAAGGCCGCAGCTGGAGAGAGGCGCTTCCATGAACCGGAGTCCTCCACGTGACATCTCGATGCTCCAGATTATTTAATTCGTCACTAAATACGCCCAAAGGCACGAGTAGTTTCTAAGTATAATTTAATTCTAATTTCTCAAGTAAATGCCTGGCGTTGCCCTGGTATTGCCAGACACACAAGTGTGAAGCTCTTGTGTAGTTCCATTTCACCCATCTTCACTGGATTTACACCTCGGCAGAACCAATCGGCAGCACCCGAGGTCGTTTCAGCGTCGCTGTCTACCTGTGCGAACGCGACCCGTCCACAGGTGCTGAGAGGATCCGAGATTTGCTTCTACATCTGCCTCTTGGGAGAGGTAAACTAAAAATTATTTTTACTGGGGGGTAGGACCCATCAGAGCGATGGTGGAATGCAGCCCGTTTGCTTATAGCTAGCAGCATTTCCAACTCCACAGCAGCTGGCTATTGAACTCCTGCTGGGCTTCAACTTGTGTGGCCTTTCAACTTGTTAGATGCTCCAGGGGGCATGCTGAGATTCAGAAAGGTCTGGGGAAGGTGGCCTGAAGCTCTGGAAGCCGGATGTGGGGGAGGGCAGAGCATAGGAGAAGGCTAACCTTCCACCCCAGGAGCTGCAAGGAGGCTTAAGGAAATTAGGGTACGTTTGTAGAGCATTTTGTGCTTCACAATCCTTGACACTCCAAGGAGATAAGTAGTGTCAGCATTGTTAGTCTCACTTTATGGATGAGACAGCTAATCCCATTTGTGGATTTAAAAAATGTCTTTTCACAATATCGTCCCATTTGCAACAACAGGGGTGGACCTTGAGGGTATTATGCTAAGCGAAATAAGCCAGACAAAGACAAACACCACATGATTTCACTCATATGTGGAAGATAAACAATCATAGGGATAAAGAGGACAGATTAGTGGTTACCAGAGGGGAAGGGGGGGGTGGGCATAAGGGGTAAAGGGGCACATTTATATGGTGACTGACAAATGATAATGTACAACTGAAATTTCACAATGTTATAAACTATTATGACCTCAATAAAAAAAAAGTCTTTTCCACACAGGCTGGGCAGGTCTGTGGCAGAACTGGCAGCAGAACGTCACCCCTGAATTGATTTCCTTATCTAAAGGGGCTGGTGTGGAACTGGTAGAACTTGAACTAGGACCCCTGGAAATCACCTCCCTGTTTTTAGAGGAAGGAACCATAGCCCCGAGGCTGGCTGTGTTAGCATGGCTGACAACCCAAGACTGTCACCCTTTCTGCCAAGCAAAATTCCTTCTTATCCAAGGATGGGAACTCACTGAAAAGATCTGCATTCCCCACAGGTCGAGAGAGGGCAGAGAAAGTCAAGGGCAGAGAAAGTCAAGTGTATGTAGGGTAGACAATCTGGGCAAGGTTTTGAGGCAGGAAGAGGATTAGGGGAAGGAAGAGCTGGAGTGCTGGAGTGGCCAGATATTTGCTCTTGGGCTAGAGACCCATGGGCTGTTCATTCAACAGGTATTTAATGAGTCTACTATGTTGGCTGTCAAGGGCTGGGCTCTGGGGACACAGTGGTGAGAAGTGACTCCACTGTGTAGCGGGGGAGAAAGGACAGTCATCAATGTTGTAATTGTGATAACCACAGAAAGGGGCTGCTGCCTCTGGAGGGCAGAATTGACCAGCAACTGTAGGGCTGCCACTGGACACCTCTGCTCAGTCACTGCTGAAGCCCACAGATGCCGCTCAGCCTCTGGCCAGTGAGTGCTGTGTGTCAGAGACCCATGGAGGGCCAGGCCTGGGGTCCCCAGTCTTGGGCATCCTGCCTCCTCCCTTACGAAGGGCATTAATAGCTCAAAGTGAAACACGAATGGTCTTGGTCTTGGGACGTTTCAGTATCGTTCTCTGAGCTGTTGTGTATTAAAAACTGGGGCAAGAGAGACAGAATTGGGGGCCGGCCCGGTGGCATAGCAGTTAAGTTCGTGTGCTCCACTTTGGTGGCCCCAAGTTCACAGGTTCGGATCCGGGCCGGGACTGATGCACCACTTGCCTGCCAAGCCATGCTGTGGCAGTGTCCCATATGAAGTAGAGGAGGATGGGCACGGATGTTAGCCCAGGGCCAGTCTTCCTCAGCAAAAAGAGGAGGATTGGCAATGGATGTTAGCTCAGGGCTAATCTTCCTCACACACACACACAAAAAAATAGAGAGACAGAATTGTGTGTTTAAAATCATACAAATGAGCATTTGACTTAAAAACATCCAACCAACCAAGAATAGTCGAACCAAAAACATCATAATCAAAAGACAGACATCCAGCGTCTGTCTAAAATTCAGGGGAGAAAACACATGTGGAGATAGGATAGATTTTAGCTTTAAATAGCCAATTCATATTATTGACCAATTATTTTGGTGGTCAGGAACATATGGAATTAAACCTTAACTAAAGAGTTAATCAAAAGAACAGCCATTTCTGTAGCGCAATGATGAGGTTTTCAGGTAGGAGCCTACTTTTATCATAGGACTCTTGACCACATGTTGTGTCTTATCTCTGTCATTGTCCCCCGAACATTCAGGCAGGCCAGAGATGGGAGACAGCAGCCGGCCGGGCTGGGGAATTCCTCCAGCTGAGGAATGGCGGGGCCTGTAGTCCCACCCAGCTCAGCACCCAACAGCTTCTGATATCACACTCTCGGCTGAAGTGATGCCCTGGCCCGTTCATTAACAAGTTAATGGCTCTCTGTTTTCCCTGGTGAAATTAGCAAACAGCAACTGGAAACCTCTTCTTGTATTTGCCACCGATCTCTGTGTGGGGTTTAGAATAGATTCCTGCTCTCAAAAATCTGCAATCTCAGTGGGGAAGGGGTGCTCAGACGAGTCATTTTAGAGCTATATTGTTATGTAAACTGGGGAAGAGGGACGGAGAACGGCTTAGGAGAGGACTTCATTTTGTGTGTGTGTGTGTGCGCGCGCGCGTTTGGGGGGTGGGGGCTATATCATATGAATTCCTATATAGATACATCATGAATTATTTTATCAGTGAATGGACACAGCGTGTTTCTGTGTTTTGGTGAACTCCCTTGTGCATATACCCTGGTGAATGCTTGAGAATATATCCAGCCGCTAAATTTCTAGCGCTGGCATTGCTCGGTTGAAGGATGGACATTTCCAAATTGTTTTCCAAGAAGGCTGCAGCAGTCTCCTCTCCTCTCTCCTTCCTCTCCTATTAAGCAAAGTGAGCAAAAAATCTTAATTTTTGCTAATTCTGTATGTGACAAATAGTATCTTGTTTGGATTTGCATTGTTTCCTGTGTTTATGGGATGCTTGCATTTCTTTTTCTATGACCTGGCCGGTAGTTCTTAGAGGGAACTTGAACTGGCTTCTTGAGACTCAACCCAGATGCCATTTGCTCTGGGAAGCCTTTCCTGACACCCTACTCCTTCCCTGGCTTCCAGTTGAGAGCCCCATCCTGGCACCCACGGCTGGAGTTTACCTTATCTTGTTTTCTCATCTTTCACCAACACTACCCCTATCCCTTATCCCCCAGACTAGGAGGTCCAGAAACCTGGTCTTCCAGAAATCTCGGCTTCCCAGCCTCTAGCATAGTGTCTGCTTGTGCTGGTTTCCTTTTGCTAAATCTTCATCTGCTGTGTCGATGGCTGATAGAAACTTGAAGTCTCAGCCTTAGTTTCTAAAAAGGTAAGGTCTTGGAGAAGCACCACAGGAAAACAACTTGCTTTCCCTATCTTGAGCCAGGAAAAACAACAAAGAATACCTCCTCCCCCAACA